TCTTATCTTACGTCTGCATTCTGCTAACTGATCCGGAATGTATAATCGGATAATATTATAAAAGTAAGTGGACATCTACATYAATATGTCATAGTCATCCTGCAAATCTTGTCTAAAATTGTGTAGAAGTTAAGGAATMAATTTATCCATGATAAAAAACTCGGTTAATCATTAAAAGTCGGTAAATAAAAAAATTGATTAATCGAATAATCGGTTTTTGGAATGACAATTAATTTTCGATTAATCGAAATAATCGATTAAAACGGGAAATTAATAATCGAGTGTTAAAAAAATAATTGAACAGCCCTAATTATTACTATCTTCTTATTGTATGGACAATATTAATATAAATTTATCATGATAATAATCGCTATATAATAATAATATTATAGTCAAAACTAGATAATCTATACATACTATACATATATTGAAATATAGATGTAGATAGTCTAGAACATATAGGAGCATCTTTTATTTAAAATAATACAAATAAAATAAGGTAACTATGTAAAAATTTGATTTGAGAGTGAAAAATTATTCAATGCATTTCAAAATGTTGTGCTGCTCCTACTACCAATACGCAATTGAAATAATTAAAAAATTATCTTAGCTAGCGACGATTTAATCATCTTAACCAGCCGTAAATTATTTTCTAAATGATTGTTCTACGTCGTCACACAACTTAACATCAAACTATAATATAATAACCTTAATATCTTATACCTCGTATATATTAGATATATACATATATGTATATAATATACGCAGAACATAGCCGCATGTGTACCTTTACGTAGATACATTATTAATTATTAAAAACTGCGCAGATATGAAAAAAACTTTATAGGTGATGGCGTTAAACCATGATTCCCGGTGTTGTTAAACGATATTTTATACATTATAGCTGATATACTCGCGTGAGGTTATAGACAAAGCCAAAATGTTTTATATTTTAAGTCAAAAATATAGGAGGAGAACGGAAGTTATATTATAATATTATAACGCTGAAACACTAAAACGAGTGTCTGGAAAGTAGGTATACCAGCCGTGGTGGTGGTCGGGATCTAAGTAATTTAATAAGACCACAACAAGCTCGTGACACATGTCAATGTAATATTATACATAATACACTATAATATAGTTTATATACTTATATATTATGTAGGTATAGGTTATTAGTTTATTACCCATGTGTGCGTGCACGGCGGGCTCACGAGGTGTGTGCAAATATTTGTACTACGAMGATATTAAATTTGACAAGTCGTGAACGTAATAATATAATATGCAAATATTGTACTTGGTGAAAATGAGCATTATGCACTATACAGTGTTATAAGTTTTAATTGTAACCCGGCTATAGACAATATTATGTATGGCAACAGGTGTGAAACGAGTACGTTTTGAAATAATCAGAATTAATTGAAAACGAACGTGGACCGCGATTACGTATGACTTAATGAAATTTAAGGCATTGGACATTTATTTTACCTAAGGATTAATAAAGTACAAGGGTCTTCAACACTTTTAAAATTACTTATAATCAGTAAATTTTTGGAGCGAAGTATGTACCTATTTAGAATGCTGGGATTTCTTTCCAACAAAAGTTATCACTTTATCAACATAAGTCTAAAATATTTGTGATTTAGTATTTAGTCTTTTCAATCAATTATTATTTTATCTGTTTAATTTTAAGACTTCTTAAATGGGATTTTATTAATTTTTAGTTTCAAAATGTATGGTTTGGAGAGAAATTTAATTTGGAAGTATTAATAGGTAGCTATATTATAATGTATATACAAAGATGTAAATATGGTTTGAAAAATCTTCAAGTCTTATGAGTTGTGAGTGACACGATTCATTAATGTTATTTATGTGTTTTGGTCTTCAACGATTTCTTCTTCTTCTGCTTTTTAATAATATAATACAGAACAACATMATTCTTGTGTAATTTATGAGAATGTTTTACAAGATTTTCAAGACTAAAATATTCACTAAACGATTTAATGTATATTATTTTTAGAACTCGAGCTGCAATTATTTCACCACAAAGACTTTAAAAAGTGTTGAAAGCATTCAAGGGAAACTAGCAAATTAGAATTAAGCTTTTATACTTCTTTTAAACGCTTCCTTTACAAAGAGATAATATGTCTTAATAATTAATTTCCATGCTATTATAATATTTTTTATTGAAACGTTCACTTGTTTTGTGTATCTATTCAAAATATTTAAAACTATAGTGTATGTTTTTATTTTAAAGTTATTAATGAGCTTGACACCTCGACTACATATTTTTCTTCCAATTGGTTCACTAAATAATACATGTGGAAGCATTGGTGTAGACTGTAGGTAGATATGATTTCTAAAAAGAGGGGGAGATAAAAAAAGGCATAGATAAATGGGAAGGGAAAATTGAAAAATCCCTTACTTTTTCGACCAATATTTATCGAGATATTCATGTGTTAGCATGTTAATATGTTYACAAATTGTAAATTATTAAATACCTAACAATTTWATTTTTTTAATTTTTATTAGAGAATATACAATCAATACACAAATGCATAATAAGAATATGTGCTACARTATTTATAAAAACATAAATAGGGTGAGGGAAGAAACCATCCAGTGATTGCACTTCTTTTTGCTTAAATATATTTGGCATATATTTTTATTTAATTAATTAATTATTATTATTATTATAATTTTTTTTTTTTGTTAATCATTAAGAAGATCTTTGCATCAATTTCTTTTTAGACGCCGTGGGGGATTTTCAGGAATCGTATGAGTGGCTAGGACAGAGATTAGAGAGTTAGGGTAGGAATTAGAGTTTGTTGAAAAAAAACATTTATAGTACGTTTAGTTTCTTTTTCATTTCTGACGTGTAATTATGTGGCACATTACTGTAAATAGGGTTGACAGTAGTTTGGGAGTGATTGATACATCAGGGAGGACTTGATATAAATATAGCAGCACCTCCATGGGCTGTATTGTCCGGATTATTTTGATTGTAGGAGATTATACATACCCAGTATTAGATATGTGGGAATATTTAGTGAAATGAGTTTCAGAAATTTGCGCTAGGTATGTCAATGCGCTTTTTCTGAAGGACTAGTTGTAATTTGTTTGAGTGATTTTTAAGACCGTTGGCATTAAATTGAAGAATTAGAATWGAGTTGCTTGTGGAAGAAGGCATTATTTTTCAACTAAGAGACCTGATACTACYTGGATGAGAAGAGCTATTAACAGATTTAATAATTATTTTACTCATTCATGAAACTCGTCAATATTATGATAATATCAGGGGGAAGATGAAYTGTATTGCCGACGTCTGAGTTAGAAGTCGGTTGGGCATAGGTATAATTTATAGTGGGTGGGTGTGTTAAGAAGGTTTTCACTGGTTGTATTTCTTGTACATTAAAAATTTTAGAAATAATATTATTATAAGATACCTGGTTGTTTGGCTTTGTTTTTTTGCGTCATTGAAGGTCCCTGTAGATGGAGCAGCCTTTATAGTTTGATGAATGGTCTCTGGAGCAAAGTGCGCACTTAGAAGGGGCGACTCTGGAGTTCTGGAGTCTAACGTTATGTGTTGAGCACTGCAGCGAACACAACGTGCCGGATAACCGCAATAGTATTTAGTGTGCCCATATTCTTGGCAGTTTGAACACTGACTTATAGATTTGGGTTTATATGGTTCTTCCAGGTTTATAAATGTACGAAGTAATGACGTAAGATTGTAGATGTTGTTGGATTGTTCAGTTGGTGCAAGGTTCRCAAAAACAGAGGTAACGGGTGTTTATTTAYTTTATAAAGGACATGAAGGACACTTAAGACTTGTCTAACTTCAAATAATCGTGTTTCAAATTCAGTTTTGTTTAGCTCGGTTGCCGCAGTTGGACATAGATTCCGAATCATAWCTCGTAATAGTTTGTCTTTTTGAGCTGAAAAGTGTGAAATTCAGCTTTTTTGTCTCTCAGAAAGTGAACCAGCTAGGGATCTGCACGATTCCGGTTTTGTTTGTTATTGTTTTCRTACGATATGTCGATGATTTGCAGTAGAAGTTATCTTCTTCAATTAATTTGGTAAGCTTAGTGCACAGGTCAGGAAAATTTAATATATCTTTCACAAAAATTGGATATGGTCTTAGAGCTTTTGGTTCGGAATTTGTGGAACCACTAAAACTTCGTATARAATCTGTATTGTTATATCATTCAATACAGTTGCGAGGGGAGGATTATCTTGCGATAATACTTCATATCGATTTGTGGAAAAAAATTGTTTTTATTTGTCGGCGTTCGAGGTGAGCTCTGATTGAAAGAGCTTGAATGAATTCTTTTAGTTTTATTTGTYGTAGCTATGGTCCATCAATTCGATAAGGAGTTATCATTGTTTAAAGTGTCCATTTTATCAGTAGCGCGAGTGCTGGTCGCAGAAGTTGAATTATTTTTAATGAGTGTCCGTTGATTACTGAAAACATCATTAATTATCTATGCGGTAACTGGATTAGATTTATTAGTTTTATTTTGGTTTTTGATTGTTTGTAGGTGATTGTGACATTGCAGATAAGCGTCAAAGTCGCGACGAAMCGTCGTGCGCCCGTGCGCAAAGCGCGATAACGACGATGACGGAGTGACCGGAGAGAGTAGTGCGTTAACGTCAGTCATTTAATATTTAAAAAAAAATATTTAAAATTTAGAAAAACGTTAGTTTATTTAAGAAAAACTTAACATATGTATTAATGTAAGTTTTATATAAGATAGATACAGCTGTTATTTATTAACTTTCGTATAAACATTAATTTAACTGTATGATGCAGAAAAATACATGTATAYTGGTGATTGTAATGGTGGAGCGGAGCAAAATTAGTGTGCATGCTACGGACTAATTCAATMTATGGTGTRTACCTTACACTGGTATTGCGAATTATGACGGTTACCGTTTATATAAAAATCCATTAAAAATCGTACAACCACGCTATAAGCTTGAAATGTTCACAGTTGATTGTAAATTTTGATAGTTTCATCGTTTATTGTATAAGAACCAAAATCCCTGTAGTCACTGTGCGGAGTTATAGACCGCTAGTAAAGTAGTAACCTAGCAGTTTTGCAAATTTCACTTTTATTAGTTGATTAAAAATCACAAAACAACGCTATCGAYTTGTTACTTTCAGTTTGATTAGGCATGATGTGGGCTATTGACGCTGATAATTTTATATTTAACACTTGAGAAGCCCGATGTAAAATATAAAACAGTTGGAGTTTGATCTAGTACAAGGAATCTTTGGAATTTATTGCAAATTGTACGCTTATTTAAAATGTAACAATATTGTGCGATGGTTTTGAAACTTGCACCATTAGATTATACATGCATCCCTTTTAGTTTCATGTATAAGGATAAAAATTTCTGTCATCAAACACAATATAAAAGATTGTCCACTCTAATACTCCATAAATTCAAAACGCTGAGCTGAACCTGTAGTGATAATGATCTCATATTTTCATAACTTAATTACAAGTAATAACGATAATATTCGATAACATTTTAAACACACTCATACAGTGGAAGCGTAGTCCATTTAGTCGAACCTACATGCATGTATTATATATTACCTTTTGTCTCTATAAATRATAAGATAAGCTATAATAAAGTATAATCATAGTCGTCATAAATCATTTCGATCAAATAAACATTACTTTGCTACAAATATACAAAAATTTAATTATATTGGTATTCAGTATTGAAAGAAATTATCAAAATTCAATAGCTCTATAATATGAAAAAAATAAATATTATATTATTATAGTGCATCCTAATAATGTAAGCAAAAACAACAAAAAGCCAATGGGAGGGGATCTGACCCTCCACGCAACCCTTGAGTACGTATTAAGTATTTATTACTGAATACAGATATGATATTAACGTATTTCTATTCTAAAATATCGTCGCAGATGGTGATTATCAARTTGTGTGTGATTATGAATCACTTACAAATATTACTAWCGACAGTCATAATATTCATATTATTTTATTTTAGAATCCATAGTTTTATCATAATGGTAATTTATCAAACCATTAAAACTACTGATTGTTGCCCACCCACTCATTAGAATGTATTTCTGATTTCGTTGTTACCTATACCAATATTAAATATGTTGAAATTAATTGCCATAGTTTTTGAAGATGTGTGTTAGATCAATAAAAAATAATGCATCTAAAGTGGTAAAGGGTATAGCGTAATATTTATTTCAAAATAATTAACTACTGTTTTTTAAAAAGAAACAAAAGATTATTTATAGTTATAATTATATGATTTATTTATATAACATACGATTTGCATGTATGRAACTATGTTTTGTATTTTAATGTAAATATAATAAACGAAGAAATTAAAGTTAAATGATTAAATYACAATACAATTTAAATACAACTATACTTTACCGATATCAAGAACGTTGGCCAATAAACTTCTTGACGATCGTTCTCGGAGTTCGATACCTCTTCGATCTGTATATCTACTTCTGATGGCTTTGAA